AAGACGCTTAGAAACAAGACCATTGTTATTATATACTTACCGCCCATTTTTACGGAAATATTCATAATAAAAATTAACTTGGCGTATTTGATTTACGGTCACATAACCTTGAACAAACCTTAAATGGCCATAGGCTATAAAACTATTAACATAATTTACGAACGGGCTACTTACCTTTATTTACTTAGTGCAATTACAGTTCGAAATCAAACCCTACATTACTTTAGCGCATACACTTATAATAGCATGTTTACTTGTACCCGATTAACTTAATGTGAAATAACCAGGTAGTTAACTTCTCGTGTTCAGATCATTTTAGGACATATATGTAACTGTTTTATTTATTTTTTCGGAGGGTGGTGTTCCTTCCAACCCTTCATCACATCGTAAAAATTCGGTTCCACACGTGTACTGACGTCGAACGACTAGAAACCTTTTTCATACAAACACCTTACAATCCTGAACAATTCCGAGTCGTTTAGGGGGCAGTCGAGCCCGGATAATTTTAGTTGTGATAATAATTCTTAGCATAGTCATGGCTACTGCGACTTAATGTAAAAATAACCCGTTACGTGCAAATTTACACTGTGAATGTCCAATATCATAAATTAAATAGGACTAGAAATCTACCCTTGTAAAACGCCATTGTTTTTTTTTTAAGATTTGTTTTACAGAATCGGGCTTGATTATCATGAAATAAGGATGCCATTAATTGATCACGACACGTTTTAAATTCCATTCTTTGTGTCATAAATATAGGACTATGAAAATACATGCTATAAACTCAGTATTCCTTTTCAAATAGTAATTATTAAGTAAACCGTGTAAACAAACGATAGCCGTACATCCTGAATATATTATTAATAAAGCGGTTACTTTGAATCTGATATTTATCGGTAAATTCTGTATCTATTGTTGCATCAGCAATTAAAATAATACATTCTTAATTCATACAGGTGTGTTAGCCAGGGCTATAAAGATACATACATTGCATAACCTACATAGCTTATAACAAGGTGATAGACCTTAACTGGAGAGATATCACACCTTCATTCATAACTTTATTTCATTCATAAACGCCTCGTGCCTCAAGGATGTCGTATGTCACATTACACGCTTATTGATAATCACATCTACCAGCGGTTAACTAATCTGTTCTTGACTTTAACTTTGGGTGAGGAATCTTTATAAGGGATTTTGTATCATTATAATCATATTCTGATTCTAATATCCAGGTATGTATATTTTGTCTTAAAAATTATGATTTCATATCGACGGTATATTTACCACAAGTGGGTTAATGCTTTTACTCCGTATTGTTATATTAATAACATGCTACCTAAACAATGAAACATTAAAACTTTTTCATAACCCGTGACTTTAAACTAAAATCGTTTGTTATCTTATTTCTTTTGCTGGTGAGAGAAATAGAGAGGGGGGGGGGTATTATTTCAATAATTCGCTTCGGCACAGATGTATTTAAAGTGAGGGATGGGGGAAATTGAAAGACGTTGGGAAAACTCACGAGGATAGGCATGTGAGCCTTGTATCTTGATCACGAAAACTGACTCAATGGAAGAGTTATGGCCTAAATCACACGTGTTAAACTATGTGATATATTTAAAATACCTATGTATTTTCGATTCTAAATTATCTTATTATATACTAATTTGGAAAATAATAATATTATACAGAATATAAAATTAAAAAAAGGGCTTGCAGCTAATTTCAGATCAATGTTTTTGCAAAGATGAATTTAACGTAAGAAACAAATCTTTGTTAATGGGGTTATATTTGTGTCATCTTTGATGTTTTAAAATTGGGCGCAGACATACATTAAGTCTCTTTTTGTCATTTGCGAGGTATGTAATCCCTGTGATTGTTAGATCTATAAAGGAAATATCAGTATAAAATCGTTCAATATTGAAAATTTGTCAACGTTCGGCATATTCCGTTAACCATGTAAACGGAAAATGCTCACACCAGCTCCACCGGCAATCTTCTTGAACATCGTTGATGGGCCTGTTTTTAATCCGAATTAGCCCACGTCGGGAGATTATCTACCGTTGATATTTTGATTTCTTAATTAAATGTTAATTACTCAATTTGAATAAGCATGTAGTTTAGTGTGGATTAAGCCGTGCAAAAATAGACAATTATCTTTGGCTTTAATGTTCTGCTTTCATTAAAATTGCACTTACCTATATTGTTACATTATTCAAAAAACATGCAAGCGATATTTAAATAGCTCTTCGCGGTGAGCCACTCCAGTAAAAGCGTAAACACGTACAATAAGAATGACCTAATATTCTCGAGTGTCAACCTGACCTGTGTCGCTGGTAAGACTTTACAGCCTGCATCAAAGTCGACAGAAAAAAGGATAAGTCGGATGTAAAAAGGAATAATAAACGTTTAAATGTGACTAAACCCTGTCTAACATACACTTGATAAAGTATTAGCATGCATGACAAGTCACGTGAGGGACACGTGGGTGATCAGAAAAATTGAAGAACCTTTTGTGCTAGGCGCGCCATCATTACGTCATGGCGCAAACTGTCCGGATTAATTGTCGTACACATCATTGTCTTTATTCAATTATACGATCAGCTTTGTAACTATCGTTCTAGTTAATGTGTTTGGAACAAATTTAAAGCTAGGACTTAATCCTAATTGATCTTCACGCGTTTCATGTTATTTTGTGGACCAGCAACAAAAGTTGTAGTTTTTAATATATTGTGGTCAGTCGTTGGTCTCATGTCCATGGACGAGAACAATAATGCGGGGTGTAAGAGTACGGTTTTGGTTTAATGTTGTACTCTGTGCCACAAAATGTCGCATAAAACTACTCCCAAGTATTCTTCATACTTTTCAGCAAAGTGTACCAATCCATTAATACATCTGTAATATTAACATCATGAAAATCGTAATTCATCGAATCGCCAGCACCTCAACAATATTAATAACTGAACCAGAACTCGAAATTTACAGTCAGTTCGTGAGCATGTTTCATCCGCATTACTCTGGGCTTCTCTAACTAGACTCTTAACCGTGACCTTCTATGCCAGTTTAATGATAGCTCAATCATTAGAAAACGCCAAGCCTTTAGAAAATTATCTATATAATTATATAGTAACGTGTATTCCATATAATTATGTCATGTGTTATAATTATATATATGGTATTAATGAATTGATTTATACTAAGGCTATAGTACTAAATAATACATGGAGTAATGTTTGTATGTAGTTATAATAATAAAGTTATGGTGAAGTTTGTATATAAACCATAAAGAACTCTATAAAGATGAAGCTTCTGGAAACTTGTGTCATATAAAAAATTATATGGGAGAGTCAAATTGTATGTCTTTCCAGATGTTAACTCCATTAAATGGACGAATACCACTGATGGGTGGTTAATAACAGGGTTGTTGCTACAGCAAGTGGTCATTATAGCCTTAATCCTTGCAGTTTCTTTATTCACACCTGACCACAAATGATTTCAAGGGGTTTAAACCTGGACAATTAGAAGAGGTTAAGTAATAAAATAGGTTTTTATAGACGGACGAAGAATGAAGTGGTCAGTGGATTTATGATTGGCAGGTGTGTTGTCATTGTATTTATTGGATTAAGGACAAATAATGAGACGAAATGTTTGCGATACATAAGATTATTTTACATATTTATATCCCTGGGGTAAATGAAGTATGGGTACAGGAGAGAGAGAGAGAGAGAGAGAGAGAGAGAGAGATAGTCATTTGGGGACTAATATATGGTTCAATTTTATTTCAATAATTTCCTTTAGCAGTGGAAAGAAACTAGTGGCACTGGAGAACATCGACGAGGTTGGACAGGAAACCCTTGTCCTTGTCACGTTCAAGCGAAAAAATGCAAGGAGCAACAAAATCTAATTTAGTGAAATAAGAAACTTATCGAACTAAAAGAACATACTAATTCACCATTTGATTCGGAAGAACACATGTGAGAGATGTTAATCACTATAAAACGAACGAAAACGTGTGGATGTGTGATTGAGAGAACAGGCCATTGAAGAAGGAAAATGGGATATTCAAGGGTATCCTCATTCCTTAAGATCACAACACGTGACCGTAGAACTCAAAACGCAGCAGATTATGTTACATTTAGTCCTTTAAGTGCCTTTCAGTGGCCATTCATGGTGTCTAAAATTTCATTTTTGAACACTTCTGTCAGTATTCATTTCTGTTATCAGAAACAGTTAAGAAAATCAACAACCTTTTTATTCTATAGAATAAAGAACTTTAGTGCTATTGAAACCTCTAACCCTCTAATTTTTAGTTATTTCTTCCCAGAAGAGCACTTCTAATTTATTTGGGAGGTGGGTATGTTATTGGATTATAGTTACTTTATATAGTGAATGAAATAATAAAGTCTACTGAAAGTTTTATTTGTCAAAATCAAAAAAACAATAATAGAAAGATATTTTTCCAGTGATAGCAAGTCTAGCCAAGACTAAGTTAGCTGTTCTTCAGGCTGTAACGATCTCTTTAATGGGTAAAAATTAACAACATTCCAATTTCATGAAACATAAGGGTTAATTCTCCAGACATTTTATCATTTGCATATTGCAAGCAAGTTTCGATTCGTGTCTGTCACTTTTAAAACTAGGTCACGTCTGTTTGATGTATCGTCTGCTCTACGTCTATAATCAAAGTTCATTGGGTTTCGATACAGATTTACTGCACGCCAGATGTCCAGTGAACATGTGACCTTGTCGTCGTCTGCTTACATTTTCTCCGTCCTGTTTTGATGCTGTCTTAAACTTTATCTTTTCTTCATTACCAATATCTTAATCACTTATCCAAATACTTCTTCTTTTGTTATCGCGTGCTGTGATCACACTCTCCGTTATCGACTTACTGACTGCCAATCATCCATTTGACCCAAAACATGACCTCAACATCATCCAATCGAATCGTTGATGACGTCATTTATCCGCCCATTTAGCGGTTGTTCAGCCTTTGTCGGTGGTTAATGTGTAAAAATAGATTGACACGGGAGAGCGTTTCAATGGATAGCGACCGGCCAGTATTTACTATGTTATTATTATGTAGATATATGTCACATAGTCTAGGATATGTGCATTGAGGACACTGGAAAAGGTAGGTAGACTAGAAGCTCTAGTATTTGTGGATTTATAACTGGATTTCAAGACCGAAGCCTTAATTATGTGGTGCTTATTGAATGTGCTTCTTGTCTGTTATGTGGCCTCTGCAAACACGCGAATAGTCTTCGACTAGCAACGTTTCGTCTGGGACTACAGTATGAAACGATGGATGCATGCTGTACACTGCCAGCTGTATGGAATGTTTCTCGTTGAATTATTCCTTCGTTGTCAGCCTTTGTATTGGCTTAATCGGGACTTAAATGGCCCCATTTAACTTGCATTGGGAGGATTATTATAGTCAGCATAATCGATCGATCACTCAGCATGTTCCGACATATACTGGTGTCGATGTGGTCGTAGACCTGAGTCTAGGGACATGTTTTAGTAGATTATACAGTGTTACGAGTATTAGTGTTACATATGATGTTGGACATTATGTATGTAAATGTGTGGATATTGATTGACATCATATTATCTACGTGTATATATTCCACAATACCCTACAGGGAGTCGGAATGTAAAGTAATCATAAAACATCCTGATCGATATTTAATAATGTGCCAGACCTATGTAATGAATTAAAATAAATATCTGTCATAAGTCACCTAATCATGGTGTAGACATTTATTTATTCCGCCCGTTGAGTGATGCATTACATGAAAGATCCTAAAATTTGGTTGTAAATCATAACGTTAAGATCGATATTTAATAATTGTCTAGACCAACGCAGTGAATTAAAATGAATAACGTACGTATATCTCTCATGAAATTACAGCAATAAGTCATTCTGTATTATACATTTATTTAGTCCGCCCGTAGAACGGCGATATCGTGTTCGGCAGAAAAGTTACCCAAAATAAGAACTTATTTACTAATTTGTCAGACCAGTGTGTTAAAATGAATAACATTTCTCTACTAAAATTTGCCATTTACATGTATTAGTGTTCCACTTTTTCCTGTAGTAGACATTTATTCCCTATGCAAAGACGATGCCATGTTCTACACGGATGTTCCTTGGGTAATCCGGATAGCTGGATGCATTTGTAAATACTGTATACTAACAATTCTTCAATTGATAGCCCCATGGTGTCGACATTGCAAGGATGTCGGTGCTAATTTGAATTCCATGTTTACAAATGTATAATCCCAGGCGCATTGAAACTTTCTGAATGCACAAAGAAAGCCCGACGCCTCAAAGCGTCTTTCCTGCGATAGTACATGTACAAGCCTTAGGTACATACATGTACAAGCCTGAGGTACATACATGTACATGTATCAACTAAGTGCAGATGTGATGTGCTTTGGTATTCTTTAGTGCCTGAAGAATTTGCAGACGGTACTAGTTTGTGTTGGTGCTGAGCGATACCGAACTCACCATATACATTAATACATTGTTTGCTCCACTGTGTATAGTACACAGACCAGCGTTGGGTTTTCAAGAACATTTGTATGAAGTCGGCATCGTCATTATCAGGATGTTATTGATTGTGACCATGTATAGAATTGCTGTGAATGACTGCGGTCAATGTGTTTTAGGAGTTCCCCGTGCAGGAAATAGAATAATTATTGATTCTCAATGTAAATTTGCCAGCTTTGTCTAAAATATAAAAAGAGAGTTTATTGATTGTGACTCAAACATATAATCATACATTCACAAAGTTTAAAATTTCCTGTGTTTAAAAAATTCTAGATACCAAAATCTGTCACTTTATCTGCATGGAAAGTGTACCGAACAGGGATTGGGTTTTGTGTTAGGTATTGACGTTTGTCGATAGATTCTGAAATCGCTCAAACCAAAACAAGACGGGGAACCTTGCGGTATGAAACCACATAGAAGCTAATCTTGAGATACCGATCAAAACTAGTGCACCAGTAAGCTGTAGGTAGTGTCGATTCGTCATGCACGGTAGGCGTTCTCTTTCTAGACCATCTGATAACACTTCTCGCATAATGAACAAAATTCTGTTGTACATTTGTATAGAAGACGATACTTGCAACGAACGGGATGTTGACTTTCGTTTTATGAATATTTCAAAAGACAAGATCACAAAGTAAATAGTTCGTTGATGTGTTAAAGGAGGACTCGGTGATAGGGTAACCATCTCCAATGTTTTTAAATTGATGGATAACCCAAAGAGTATAATGTTCTTACCGTTCTGTTCAAATATTGAGAAGATTCGTCGTTCTGTTTTGAATAATTTAACGTTAATATTGAATATCGTCATCCCAGACAATACTTTTGTACATGTATCCCATTTGTTTACGTCAGTAACTAATGAAAGGGGTTGCTTGCATCCGGCAAAGTGCTTCTTATATTCTGGCGTTTTTAGACATATGTTTGGTAATTCGCGATTGTATTCGGTTCGTGTCTCTTTGACTGAAAAGGGAACTGCGGTGGCTCAGTGAGTAAGATGCTGGCTCGCCGCCGGTGTTGACCCTACGCGTTCCCTTCGTCAGTGGAGCAGGACGGAGGTCCTACCAAGGACAATTGTCTAGTCGTTCAGATGGGAATAAAAACCGAGGTGCCGTGTATACGTAAAAGAACCGTAGTTGGAATTAGATAGTAAGAGTAGGCCGTAGCCCCGCTGCAATATTCTCCTCATAGCAGACTGCATGGCGTATACCCGTCTTCATTAGACCAGTACGTGCAGAAAAGTAGAGAGAGAGAGAGAGAGAGAAACGGGGCTTAACGTCCACTCGACACAAACTAGGTTATTTCGGGACTAACATATGGTTTTTTAATTTTATTTCAATAATTCGCTTGCGCGTAGGGGTCTTTAGCAGTGGGAGGAAACCGGAGGACCCGGAGAAAACCCACGAGGTTGGACAGGCGACCCTACTCCTTGTCACGTACAACCGGGGGCAGAAAAGTAGAACGTTAAACCCCATTTAACATTTGTAACTGTAAATCACACAAATACAGCTATACCTGGCTGCAAGAATGTATTTACTTGTACATGCTTGTCTCCCAGAGACTGTATTTCTAGAACTAGTGATATAATCAATACTGTCAATATCTGTACAGGTGCAAACGTATCACCACTCATGCATATTTTTTTTTTATTTTAATGAAAAAGTCCACGAGGTTCGTGTCTCACCAGATTTCTAGTAGGCTAGTTTGGAATTTTGTGTCAAGCGCGAGAATGCCAGACTCAAAGGATCCCTTTAACTCAGTTCGAAATGGTTATCATTTTGTGTTAAATTTAACCTGAAAATGATGGACACAATTTGTAGTTAAGTCTTTGCTCGATTCTGTGTTAAAACCCATGATAAATATGTGACATTCTCTGATTTTATAGACCAGATAAGACCAGTGCTATGGGTTATCTTGGAGGATTATGTGCATTCTCACAACTATAATTCGATCGACTGATCGACTATTTAAACACGAAAGTATTATTTTTGTAATGACCTAGACATGTAGAACGTTATATGTAAACGATAGATGCCAGTACGAATGTCCGGTGATGCAGAAAATTAAAACGTGAGCAACCCCACTTCATTTCATTTAAGAAAATGACTTTTTACTAAAACAATCCAGATTTAAAATATGGTGTTGATTACCCCATTTAAAGTAAGTTTAAAAGGAAAACCAATCTAAAAATGTATCGTAGCTCACAGCAATTTTACGGTGAAGTGCCCATTGAGTGAGATCTGAAATCCCACGTAGATCTATAGTGTTATTATGTAGCTTTTAATAGAAATTTACAACAAACATAGGTCGATTACACGGACAGTTTAATGTCTGTTAGGTCGATCCACGTTCTGGGACGGAATTTAGAATGTCGCACCACTTAGGTGTTCTCCTGGAACTGTTATTAGGCTTTACAAGTAGTATAACAGACAATCATTATTCTCCTTATTATGCGTTAGAATATAATGGCGAACTTTAAGAATGGAATTAAGTCGTCGTATATTGAAGTAACAAAGCTTCCCACGATCGCTAAATGTAGGTTAACAGAACTCGGTTGTTTGGCAATGGAACCTCTCTATTAAAACATGGAGCAATTTAACCTGTTAATTTGTCAATAGAATAGGAATGTGGAGTTATTGTAAAACCAAGTACAAAACGGTCGACTTGGAATTCGTAACATTTAGCCTGTAATTGCTACCAGGAATAGAAAGTTTAGGATTTTGTTTTTCTACATTTGAGAAATGTCACTATTTGATAAACCGCCTTCGTTGTTCTCAAATGAATAATAGTTTTAAGAATTTCAGCTTAAACTTCGAACACCGATGTCCTTCACAAAACAATATATGATATGCTTACACTTTCTATAGTACTAGCCGATAACACCTTTGATTTTTTTTTAGGAGAAAGTTGTTCACTTGAATTTAAATAGCCAATATTATCGCGTCATTTAGCATTTATATCGGATTAGTGTGTTGCACGTGGTAGAGGATGATGTCTTTCTAGAACACCAGATGCTTCTTTCTCATTATTAATGAATGCATTATTAATGTGTTAATGAATGCATCAAGAAATTAATTCAAAAGATATTTTAGGCGTTCATTTATCATTTCTAAAATCTTTAGCCGGACGTTCCGCGGTAAACATGACACTGACTCAGTAACCAGGATGTCTTGATGCTGGCGGATAAGATTCCTATCTCTGGATTTTCTAGCCTGCTTACCACTGGTGCAAGGCGTGGGGGTGATATAGTCATTCGGATGGATGGATAAACCGAGATACTGTGTACACCCTTGGCAGCACCTGGCAAATAGAAATCGAAATAAAAACTTGGTCGTAGCGTTGTCTTTAAATAAGAGTAGGTTTTAGCGCTGCTATCTAGGCAATATGTTCCCTCACACTTAACTTATGCCCGTCTTCGTTAGACTTGATGGTGTAGAGAAGTATGGTCACTGGCATGGGAATATATAGATCGCAGTAGTTTTGAATAAATAATTATATCCAAAATATTCCATGCATTTGATAATAAATGAAACAAAATCACAGGGTTCATGTTTAATAGGCGCCCAATTTTTCTTCATTCGCCTTTGTGTCACCATTAGCGACAGATGTATAGAAACTGCATCTGATATCTGATAGATAATGATGAAATACAACCTTGAGACGTATTTGAAATAGGTCTACATATTATATTTTATGAAGACTCTACTGATCTTTTAACTATCTTTACAAAATGTCATCAGGTGCATGCCAAGTCGTCTGAAACATGTTTTTTTCTCTCTCTTTAACGAGATGATTAATATTCGTTGAGATTCTGCGATGTCTGTTAGGTTAGTTGTGTCGTTTGATAAATTTATACAAAGATCTGAAAACGTCAGCAGGTGATTGTTGGCCTAAAATGTGATATCTTTTCATTGGCTAGAAGAGAGTCCAGGTCAGGTCAGGTCATGCCAATTAATTATAAGATTCTTAAAATTGGTGTAGATCCATTATAACAAGATAAAAACGCAAAACAACTTTCAATTTTTATAAGAGGCTCTTTGTTCTTACGATATAATTATGAAATTACAGCATTTAGTCACATATAGAAAGGTTAGGGTGCACCAGAAGCACAAACACGTCAACCATATAAAACACGGACATTGTAAGATATCATATAAGTCAAGTTAACGTTTCTGGTGGACGTCAGTAAATAACGACTCGAACCTACATGTAGGCAATTAATATAATGCGACATAAATCCACCCTCAGGAGATTCCATTTACTTTTATTAAATGTATCGTGCTCTGAATATATTTATGATTTTATGATAATATTTATAGGTTGGTAACATCTGTTCTGTTTAAAGGAATGTTATAACATTTATTTATCAACATAATATTGTGGTCTTTTATACATCAAAAGCGCTAATGTATGTTGATGCGAATATTGTTTCGTAGATGTTCTTTGCGTCCTAGACCACAAGAAACTCACTAAAAAGCCAAATGCCCTTCAAATTGACAGTATGTTTAATAACTATCTAGTGTTTTCTTTTATTTTAAAACATACGCTCTATTTAGTTAGGCAAGGTGGTGTTTGGCCCCCGGTGCCCCCACCCATCTTCTGCCCGGGCCCGCCCTTGTTATCATTAAATACCGTACTTGTGTGTAGGTCTGTTTATAATTTACATAAAATATCAAATACAAATAGTTGAAATAGTTTGGAATGTGATATTAAAGCGATAAGCAATATGGCCCCCTCTTTAAATATACATTGTCATCAAAATACATTTATCGATAACATCGCTATAATTCTACGTTCTCACTGAAATTCCATGTGCATGAAATAACCTCGGCAATTACCATTTACGTGCTGATTTCAAATTAAGATCATTATAGAATCAACAGATATACATGAAACAAACATACATACATGTACATAATTATACAGAGATTCAACACTTACAAAGACACGAACCAATTATATATAATGCGGGTTTTTTTTTGCATTGCCTTTGATACAATGTAATGTGTTCTCATTTTCCCAGCGTGTTACTCGCTTTAAACTCTGTTATTATCACGATATAGATTATGATAGGTGCATGTATAAACATTTAAATACTATAAAAATATCATGTGGTCAATCCTAATGGGTAATCAAATACAAAATTCTACAAAGAGCCGTTACCATAATAACAATCTTGTCGCAGGGTTCAAATTTTGTAAGGATATTCAAATTGAGCGTTTTATACATTTTAGGATTAATGAAATGGGCTTAACTTCCTAATTTACTGCACCAAACGCCATGCAATGTGATATGCGGGAAATTTGGCCCGCGCAGCAACTGTCCAGAGCTCATTTACATGCACACCAGAGTGTTCACAGTACCTCGGTTTTCGTTCCATTCGGACGACTAGACACTGTTCCTTGTCATCCGCCATTGACAAGCGGACACCGCGCTTGAAAACCCCAAGCAACTTTCGCTGCTCAAATCCTGGTTTGTGACATACTTTTAGCACATTTATATTTGGTTCGATTTAATGGATTAAACAGACCACCTACCATACTGTCTATTATATTATCTTGTGATGATAGTCGTTTCAGCACCTTTTATTTATCTGATCATATCAGCCTAGGGACCAATGCCACATTCCACATTTTCTACAGTTTAAAAATAAGATCGTATATATAGATAAGCTAACGGTATATATGATACATAAACACGAACATGTGCAAGTCAAGATGAATCTCAATTTAATATAAATATATGCCCTACAGGTGTGCATGTACTTTTGGCATGGTTTAACGACTTAAGGACTTCGGTTATATATTTAGTCTTAAAGGAGCTAAATCTCTATTCTTTGGAACCTAAAATGGGTCGAAAGGCAGATAGTAATGTATGTAAACTGATTTACGTTCAATTAATTTTATTTGTATTGTTATTTTTTTATTGTTATTTTTCTTATTAGTTATGTTCGGTGAAATACGTGAGCAGTTTAAATTGAATGGCAGTCGTTTGTCCCTGGGTAGCCCAGTATGCACCAGGAGAACGGTTTGACATTTAACTTCCTCAAGTGTCGTTTTTCCTTATTTATCAATGCCCCTAATTACAAATGGCACTCGGGACCATAGAGAAAACGACACCGCATACTGATTTTAAAATGTCCATTGTGTACTAATTATTGGACATCAGGAGAATATATTTTCAATTTATAGACTGGAATGGACCAATATTACATTCTAATTCTTTTTTTTAATGTCTAAGATTATGGATAATGTTGCGTTGGGAATTTAGCTACTTTAAGTCTATATACCATTCTTATACAAGTGGTTAAAATACACCGGATGTGTATAAATTAGATTTTTTTCCTGCCAATGTGGTATTTGTTATGTATGTATGACAGAAAATTCCGACGAAATAATCCAAAGCGAATACAAAATTGACAACGTATGCATGTATTTACATAACATTCATGCTTCATGAGATATGAGAATGCTCATACCGAAGACAGTTTTACATTTTCAGATACATATCTACATATCTGATGGTTTCGTAAGGATGTTATTCAAACCAAAGTTGTTAGGAATGACGTTTTGTTGGCATTCATGATCAGATCGCACATTAGAAAGACATTTCGGAATCCATCACGCCACAAACCATATTGATTTAGTTATCGTTCTCTTGTTGTTTGCTTGCGCAATTAAACGTACGTGTAATTGAAAATTGCGCTTAAAGGTAACAGTAGCTGGACAGTGAAAACGAAAGAACATATTAAGTATCAGTTTGTTTTATGTGCCTTGATTATTGACAATTTTTATTAACTTTCGCAATCAGATGAAATAGTACTGTTCCATGTCAACGGTTGTATATTTATTCAAACGAGCAAGGCGCCGTGTTGGCTCAATAAGTAAGATGCTGGCTCGCTAACCACGGGGTCTCATTAAGTTCACACTTGGTGTTGGCCCCGTAAGGACTTGACAAGGAAAGTGTCTATACGTTTGGATGGGACGCACAACCCGGTCTCGCGTACACATTGACGTACACGTAAAATAACCATTGACAGAATTCGCAAAAAAAGTAGGTCGTAACGCTGCTGCCCTGTCAAAATTTCCCACATAGCACACTGCATGGCATATGTCCGTCTTTATTAGCCCAATGTGTGCAGAGAAGTAAACCCTATTTCACTTCATTTCGAATGAGAAATAAACCATTTATAAAACGTACGTATAGTGTATCAATATTGATGATGTTGTCGAGTTCGGGTATAACACAACATTAATCTCCGGTTACATCATGTTTTCTGATTCCAAGTCTGTGATTCAGTTAATAATGTATCATTTTCAATTCAAACCACGCCGATACGTGCAGTTCATGTGTTGTCTGGTCCATTTGTTTGTGAATCAATTTACGTATGCGAGTAACTCACTTTATACTCGCTCACCGAGGAAATTTCCTAGTCAACTTGTTCTGTCTTCCATTTCGACTACCAATTTTATTTTTCATCGATTTTCCCTAGTTCTTATCAATAGTCTTTACTTTCAGATACATGGACTAGTCGGCGAGGTCAGCGCGTGGAGATCACGAGGGTTTCTACAATACTGGAAGCCCGACCCTCTTACATTGCTGGGACTGAATGGAATCCGTAGAGATCAGAGAACCCCCTGACGACGCCGTGGAGTCCTTCATTGACAAGTGTTATTGTTTGAATATCTAGTGATTGGATTAAAACGTAGAACATATCGTCGCTTCTAAACAAGACATTAACAGTGTTATATGTAATAAGTTATATACACCTCCGTGACTGTGGATTAATGCGCCGTGTGTCTATTTAGAGAAATCGTTTTCAGAGTGTGTGTTGGGATTTATTCGTTAGCTTGACGGTGCTATCACTTCGCCGATCTGTTCTCATCATGGCGCAAAGTCTATTACAAAATAAGCGGTTCTTCTGCCGTGAGTGGTCTTTTAGCAAAATTCAACATTGCTTGGAACATCGTCCGGAATCCAAGACATGCGGGGCCCTTATCATGGGAGGACCTGGTTGTGGAAAAACGGCGTTAGGATGTGAATTAGTCTGGCCGACGACGACAACCGGTAAACAGTGTGCGCTACACAAACGATTAATCGCTTATCATTTCTGTCAGGCTCATGACATTGATACCCTTTCACTGGTGGATTTCATATCAGGATTAATTGATCAGCTGTCGAAATCTGAACTGATTTTAGGTTACCGAGAAAAATTAAGAGATCCTGCGATTAGAAAATATCTGAACCAGGTTGAGATTGATAAGAATCCGGACGAAGCTTTTAAACAGGCCGTGCTTAGTCCACTATTGTCCATCGACCCTCCTAAAGACACCCTTTTTATGCTAATTGATTCTATAGACGAATCGTATTTAAATACCACAAGTGATAAATCGGGAATAAGTCGCAACATTGCCGAACTGTTGGCTAATCATCACCCAATGGTACCGCCGTGGCTGCTATTAGTCTGTTCGTCTCGAAAACAAAGTAAATCGGTTACTCGTATGTTTACCGGATTTAGAAAAATTAGTCTGGATGATTTGCGGAAGTCTCACATTGTACGTGACGTACAGCAATATATCTTATGTCGGCTAGATCAAGAAGAAGCGCTAAGACAACATCTTAGTCGCGAGACAGCGGAAATGTTGAACCAATTACATATTAAAAGTAACGGTTGTTTTCTCTATCTGGAAAAGGTTTTAGATGGAGTGGCCGATAATTTCATTATGCTGCGTGAAATTAGAGAAATACCAGGAACTTTAAACGGCCTCTATTTGTGGCTGTGTCAACGACTCTTTGTGAAAAAACAATTCGAAAAAATTCAACCGATTTTAAACACCATCTTAGCCGCTCGTAGACCCCTATCAGTATCGCAATTATACTCTTGTAGTCGCAGTCTTAATATCACTTTGACTTTCGAGGAATTCGACAGACGAATGAAATTAATGTCAAAAATTCTAATAGACGGCGACAGTGGGAATAAAATTCTGTTTCATCATAGTTTCGCCGAGTGGTTGCTAGATGTAAAACATTGTACTCAAAAATATCTTTGTAATGCAACTCAAGGTCATGGGATGTTGGCAATGTCTGCCACATTGCAGGCATCTCAGCTTTCGGCACCGGAAATACAAGACTTTGCTTTCCATCTGTTAAAGACTAACGCACAAAGCCCAATTCATAATCACAATTTGATTCATTGGCTAATGTTGTCGGGAGCAGACGTGGAATCTAGTCTATCCTCCGGGGTTCCCAAGGATCAAAAGGTCGTTAAAATGCTTCTTGATGCAGGAGCTAGAATGCCCACTAATGATCTTAACACAAGTACTCTGTCAGTGGAAGAGGATAAAGATGACACGGGGTCTTCTATAGAAGAAATCGATATCCCAGTTGATCAGATTGATGGAAATGGAAGAACCCTTCTCCATACAGCTTCGCATCAGGGTAATCTTAACCTAGTTAAACTGTTACTGGTTAAAGGTGCTTGTGTAGAAGCTGTAGACAAAACTGGTCAAACGGCGCTCAATCTAGCAGCTCGTCAAGGCTTTGAGGAGATTGTCGATCTATTACTGAAAGCCGAAGCGGACGTGAATCACGCAGATAATGATGGGTGGACTGCTCTTAGGTCAACAGCTTGGGGAGGACACACTTCCGTCGTTTCTATTCTCCTAGAAGCTGGGGCCATGGTTGACCATGCAGATAGTGATCAAAGAACAGCTCTTAGGGCTGCTGCGTGGGGAGGACACGAGGAGATAGTCACTCAGCTTCTGAGACACGGTGCGGATGTGAACAAAGCTGACAATGAAGGACGCACCGCATTGATAGCCGCTGCATATATGGGACATGTTGAAATTGTAGAACATTTATTGGATTATAAAGCAGATATTAACCACGAGGACTGCGATGGTCGAACTGCTCTGTCCGTTGCAGCTTTATGCATACCTGCTAGTGAAGGTCACGCAAAGGTTGTTGGTCTTCTCCTTGAACGGGGAGCAGAAGTTGATCACCGAGATCATGATGGTATGACCCCTCTGTTGGTAGCAGCGTATGAGGGACATCATGAAGTTTGTGAACTTTTGTTAGAGTGGGACGCGGACGTAGATCATTGTGATAATAACAGCAGAACTCCCCTGTGGGCCGCAACGTCCATGGGTCACGAGAAAGTAGTTGGCCAACTGTTGTTTTGGGGTACCGCTGTGGATCATATTGACGGGGAAGGGAGAAGTGTTCTGTGTGTAGCGGCTGCCCAGGGAAATGCAGCAGTAGTGACTTTACTGTTAGACCGTGGATTAGATGAAATGCATAGAGACAATGGCGGATGGACGCCATTACATATGGCGGCCTATGAAGGACACTTTGAGGTAAGTCTATGATTTCTTATTACGTTTAATATAAACTATTTTATTAACATTTATCATAGAATATTTACCATAGATGTAATTCACAAATACGTTAATTCACAATTAAATACCATTATTCACAATCAAATCCCAAACTTCTCAATCAAATCCCAAACTTCTCAATCGAATACCATCAAATGCCAAAATTGTCAATCAGATGCCCACTATCATGCCCACAATTAAATGCCATAATTCACAATCAAATACCATAATTCACAATCGAAACCCGTAAACATGTACATGTATGCGTCATCGGCCATGTATATAAATAAATCATAACTGAGATATATACATGTACATGTATCTACTTTAACTCACACGTTGAAACGGGGAAAATTATATTATAAACTATTCTTTCTCTAGCATTAACAGCTCTGCATCACACACATTATCCCAGTTACATCTTCTAAGTTCTAACTTTATCTTTAGTTCACATCTATTTTTAGATAAGCCATGCTGCTTTTTTTACATCAATAATCTTTAATGTGATTGAATCAGCAAAGAATAACATTAAACAATAACAATCAATAAAATGTTGACTCATCCATTTGAATAATACATTAGACCCGTTGATAACAATACGCGTAGCTTCCGTTTAACACAAAAAGATCCCACGACTCAACTCACATGAACCTAAAGCCCGAAAAACACAAGAGGCGTATTAGATGTACACTAGGTCATAAATGCAGTTTAGGGACAATTTGTTTAAGTGTTACTTTGCGTTTATCCAGTAATTAGCGCATTCCATTTGGTGCAAAATTCTATTGTAACTTGGATATATCCTAATGCTCCATATTAAAGATTTGTATTTTATTTTGACCACATCCTAATGCATAGGTACAAAAGTTGGATTGAGTGGCCACTGTAAATTGTGTTTTGATAACATCGTTTTACCTGTTCGTCCGAAAAAAGCTCAACCGTACATTCCTGTAAGGTTGTGTTTTCATAGATCCAGGTGAACTTTATTTGTATCCACGTGTTCACAATTCCCAATACAGTTTGATAAATCTAAAAACCGCCGTGGGTTACTCCGAGAATTACTTCCACGATTTAAACAGCCTAACGAACAGAATATTATTTATCCGACCTGTTTTGTGGCTCACGTTGATTCGGAATAAGCAGTTAAGGATGTCTATTGACATGAATGATAATTTAGAATATGCATCTAAATTGTGTAACTATAAGTGCTGGTTGTATCAAATCGATTATTAGAAGACTGTGTATAAAGACAAAAACGCGGACATCCATGACCTCAAATGGTATTTTTTGTGTGACAGGCTTGAATTTTCAACCAAGAACAGTCCTCGCAGAAAAAAAACAATAGTAGTCTTCGTGCATCAAATAATTAACCGTAGTACTGCACGTAGGCAGCATATGATCGCGTGTTAAGGTCTCATTTGAGAGGAGAATTAAACTTGATAATATGATTGGTGAAAGCACTGATACTGGCATTTCTTCTTGTTGGATATAAACGTGTGGAGTGTATCCTGCCTAAAGATGGTATCAGTTTCTAAAAACAGTTCGCATTTATGTATTCCACTCGTACATGTATACTGCGGTTGTCTTCATTATCCCAGTCGGTGTAGAAAAGTGGGGCGTCGTTAAACCCCATTTCATTTCGTATATAGTAGTTCGATCCCTGTTTGGATGGCGCCATGTCAATGGTTATACCGGCATGTCTTTCCTCCTTGTATGAACGGAGGGGACGAATGGGTGTGCAGCGCGTAGTCGTTCCGATGGTACGAAAACCGAGGTCCAGTGTACATGCTGGGGTGGACGTACAAAATCCGTCGACAGTTGGAATTCAGTTGCTGTCCGGGCAAAAATTTTCTGTATGGCGTATACCCATCTAGGCCGTCTTCATTATTCCGGTAGGTGCAGAAAAAGAGGACGTTAAGACACATAGCATTCATTAATTCGTATAAAACGTCCACTTGCAATTATCAGACACCTTTGTAAATGTCAAACCCGTTTCAAAGTTGAAAATACTAAACGTTAATAGTATAAAAACACTTATTGATATTGACTTCTGTCAAATGCAATTATTGTGAATCTGGTTATGTTCTCAAGAGCTTTAGTATTTTTTGTCCAGACAAAGGCGTTTACATGTAAACATTTGACATGGCAAGATATATTTGACATGACAGGATACATATAATATACGTTTTGTATTTATTAAGAGAAAACATACTGTATATGTTCATTTAAAGTTTAGTTGGGTGTTATATGTTGAAAAATAAAAATAATGAAAAATATTTTGGATAAACCGTTTAATCATCTGAAGGATTACCTAAATATATATCACAATGAAGTAGCAATTAGTTGTAACTGATACAATGTACATGTATATTAATAATGAAATATCAGTTCGGTTTTCCTTTTTTTTTGTTGGAAAAGTCCCGTTTCTGAAGACAGGTGGTGCTGGGTTAGTTAAAGTCACAGTGATCAAACAATAAACAGAAATGTGATAATTTATTGTAATGACTGTTTTGTTTGGTGTATAAAAATATACTACATGAAGAACGAGCTTGCCTATACGATTAAAAAAGAATTATGTACTCCAGCATGTTGCGACTTTAATATTTAATATTTGAACACAAGTATGTACATTTATTAAAATTCGCGTGTTATCAGGGTGAGGAAACACTCGAAAACCCTAATAAATTTGATAGGCGGCCAATCACGGTCTGCATGGTTGACAAGCATATAATTCACAGCAAAAGGCTTTAAAATATTCCAGCTCGAAATGTTTAAATACATGGACTCCAATACGTGTATTTGGAAATTGCTAATAAAAATATCGGCGTCAGATCTCACGGGCTACCAATCGTGTTTTGCGTGCGTTAAGCATGGAGGTTTTTATCTATAGAAAGATTTAAAGAAAAATATTATTCTAAGCTTTTTGTTTATTATTAGAAATTTAATATAATATCACCATGTGTAAACTGTACATTCAGGAAAAGGTTAGCTGTTTTAAACTAGCTAATTGGAGTCACGTGACATTGTATATAAGTTGTCGCAGTAATATGACCTATGGACTGTAATATTTTACAACACTAGGATGCGTTTTAATGATTTTTTTTCTCTCCAACTAGATCAATATTATTCAACGTTAGTTTCCTGTAAAGGTCAAACATGGCGGCCAGAAAAAAATAACATCTGTTTTAAAACTGTTCTTTGTCCAGGCCTCCATCTATACGATATAAGTGCATTGTTAGTTTTCCCTTGGCATGGTATATGTATTAGGTAATTTAGTAAATATCTCCCAATGGGGACTATTTGTGTAGAATGCTGTGGATATCCGATTTACAATGTGTTATTATTAATTTGAACTTTTTTTTATCCACCCAGCTTTTGTCTCGTTGTGCAGTTTTACTGCATTGTTGATATGGAATGATGGAGATTTATTTATTAAAATGAAAATTAAATCTAAATAATACTGGATAACAATTAAATAATCACACCGAGTGGGCTTAACGGACATACATATCTCGAGTGGCTTGATTTAGATCTGTTTTGTTAGTTTTGTTTTAAACATTATTTGCATAAAAAAAGGACGGGACCCCCCGCCCCCTCACATACACACACACACCCTCTTAGGAATACACAGTACGATTATTATTATTAAAATATTAAGAATATCATAATAATAGAATGATCTATATTCCTAGGTTTAGATTATTCCTACCCAGATGTACATAGACTAATTGATATTGATTGGGTTGTTGGGCTGTTATCTCTAAAGTTACTGTATACACCAAGGTGTTGGCATTATGGAAATTTGGTTGTCATTATAATATATGTACATAGATAAGGAATGTGTTTAGGAAATATCATATTAGATATATATGTATCATGGTACCAAGTTTTGTCAGCTTCATTTTAGGCACAAACCACCATTTTATTTAGCTGTAACTATTCACATAGTGTTTATGCTGATATCACTTTTTATTTAGCTATAATCAGTGACTGGCGCGACTTCTCATTTAGCTATAATTAGTGACTATTCTCATGTTGTTTACGCTGATATCACTTTTGATTTAGCTACATGCACAGGTAGTGTCAATTATCATATTGTTCATGCTGATACCACTTCTCATTTAGCTATAATAATGTGACCGTTTTCATGTTGCTTATTTTGATACCACTCTTCATTTAGCTATAATAAGTGACTTTTTTCATGTTGTTTATGCTGATACCACTTTTAATTTACTAGTAGCTATATTGGTTATTCTCATGTCATTGATTCTGATACCACTTCTCATTTAGCTATAATTAGTGACTTTTTTATGTTGTTTATGCTGATACCATTTTTTTTTAATTTACTAGTAGCTATATTGGTTATTCTCATGTCATTGATTCTGATACCACTTCTCGTTTAGCGATAATAATGTGACCGTTCTCGTGTTGCTTATTTTGATACCACTCTTCATTTAGCTATAATAAGTGACTTTTTTCATGTTGTTTATGCTGATACCACTTTTAATTTACAAGTAGCTATAGTGACTATTCTCATGTTGTTGATTCTCATAGCACTTCTCATTTAGAAAGTTTATATGCATATTGCTAACATTGTGTATATAATAATGTATTTAAATTTCGTCTGCAATATCATTTAATATCTGTGTGGTACTTCACATTCTAATCTTCTATTGTTTCATGAAATACAATACAGCGTTTGATTGAAAACATTTCAAACTGTAACGTCAGACATATAATTAGAACTAAAACCAATTTCTAAAAAATATGAAAAGGTCATTTATCAGTGTCCATGGAAAGAGTAGTGGCGGCGACAGTTACTTGTTTTTAGTTGGTGTGGGTTTTGTTTATATTTATTCGTGTACGAATCTTTGTAAAAGTTAACGGTCTTGTCATAATAGGATTTCACGCCAAATAGAAAATAGTTCAACTTTATTCAGGAGTTTGATTTTAATTTCACCCCTCATTACCAAACCATTCAT